ATTCATTTATTCCAAAGGTTTTAAATGAAACATGGGATGCACATTAATAAAGCCGACAAAAAGAAAATTGCAGGTTTATCTTGGTGACACTAATGTACTTGTAGCGTACGTAGAAGAGGTACTATCAGATCTAGCCAGAATTGGAATATCTCCATTTCCGGACTCTTGTTAATGCGACGCTAACACCAGAACGTTTTATGCATTTTCTTTTTTTTTTTTCTCTCTTTTCATATTCTCTGTTGAAAACCTGTCTTTGAGTTTTTGAGTTAAAATTCAACCTTTGGGCCTCAGAGTCAGAGATCGTCGGGATAACAGGCACAACATTTTCAGTTACCTAGAAGGAAAGAAGCAAAGGTCGGCCGTGTTTCACCTCCGCACGACTGGTATCTTGTGTTTTCACTCAAATCTAAGCCGACAGTATTGAACAGATTGAAGCGGAAGAAGCTGAAAAACATATTGAAACCGAGATCATCCCACTGGATGTTGCTGAGCACAAAAAAACCTGAATATTAGACCCGAAGGCATTGTTACCCCGGGTCATTCTCTAAGCTCCAGTGCTTCCCCGCTCTATGATGAAATTAATCCCATTTGTGTGTTTATTAAAAATAAAAAAACTTTTGTGCATTCAGAATGTAAGCTTCTTATCCGTTGGCGGTGCAGCGGGCTCAGAGTGAGAGCTGTGAATATTCAGGACGTCTGCAGAGTGAGAATGCTCCTCGCTTTACCAGGAGCAAATATAATCTGCAAAGTTCTGTGAATGGAAACACGCCAAGTGCTTAAATGCTTTGGTGTCTTTTCTATTATGTATTTATATATATATTATATTAAAGTATTATTGGGTCAGTGATTTAAGTGAGTTACAGTCTGTTTAATTCTTATAGTGGCTTTTGTCATGGCCGTGACTGTGGAGGACCACGAGTGTCAAAAGTGATGAAACATTTCATCAAATAGTACGAATCAAAGTCATTTCTATCAAAATGTATAAAAATATATCAAATAAATAGAAAACGTTACGAAGAAATGATTGATTTGATATTTTCATATTCAACAAATAGTTGATCACATCCAGGTTGTGGCATGTGTGTGCGATTTTTGTTTTGCCCTTCATCGCAAGTCGTTGTCATTGTTCCCTTTTCTCAATGAGGGAAGTTTCGCCGAGCGAGCGTCACGTACGTCGGCGACGCTCGGCTGGAGTCGCTCACACCCTGCAGCTGCTGCACGAACACAGCCGGCAGCACGCGGGCCAGATGGTGCAGCAGTGGAAGGTTCATGTGAGTCTATGAGGAAGCAGAAAATGACATTCATAAGCTGTGTCCCTTTTAGCTGTTGCAGGAATCCGGTAGCAGAGACGTGTCCTGTCTGTCTCTAATATGTCTTTCACAACAAAGTCAGCAGGTTTTCAAACACGAGTAAACACTTGTGAAAGACAGTTGGATATTAGTACAACAAACGCACATTTGTTGTCGTTGTCTGTAGCTGCAGGTACACGTGGTCAATTTCTCCTTTATACGCCCGGGGGGGGGGGGCGGCAGCTGGGGAAGCAGGTGATTAACTAGCCAATTCAGAGAGACAACTACCGAATGGCACAAGAGCAATGGCAGTGGCCCAGTTTCCGTCCCGGAGCGTGATTAGCGTAAGTGCCGGAGTGTAACTGGGAGCGCCGACTGAAACTGAAGAACGGGGGCAGCACTTTGTGAAATCACATGTTGCCCGGTCCAATGAATTCCTGCGTTCAGTTTAGTGCCCGGCTCATATTTCATAGGAGAGCCTACTAACTAATCTGAATATTTTACATTAGCTTTATTAGCAGTGTACGCTGTAGGGTTATTGACGTCAGGACACCCCCCCGCTCGACCTCAGAGTAAAGACATTCATCAGGGCCGAGAAGGAAATGCAGGAATCTGAGTCAGTCATGCTGCACCAAATGTCCCACGCTCATAGTTGTCAGTCCTCCAAATTATTTCCCAATGTTAGAGAGCAAAAATGTTCCTGCATTTTCTTCTTGGCCCGTGTCCCATCCTTCCACCCAGTTACGTGGAAAACCGTGCAGTAATTTTTGCGTAATCCTTCTGACGAACAAACAACTGAACAAAGGTGAAAACGTGACCTCCGCATTTCTCTGGCTCATCGTCACAGTTTGAGTTTCCCTCCTCACTTCTTGTTTGAAGTCAGTCTTCTCATTCTCTGAGGATTTATTTCGAGCCTATAAATAATTAGGTTTGTCATTTCCTCAGAGATACACAGCTTTGTTTTGTGATTCATTCTGAAGGCAGGTGTGTGTTTTTTTATTTTTTTTATTTTTCACAAAGCCTATATTTACAGAAAAAAAAAACGTCTTCCCCCTGGAGCAGATTTGATTTAGTGCGAGCCAAGAAAACATCACAAGTGTGAGAGATGGAGTGCGGGTGAGTGATAGTGGGGGAGAGAGGGAGATGAGATGAGATGTGAAGGGGATACAGGTGCAGCAACCCCTCGCTCTGATCTCTAAATCTGGAGCAGACACACACTCCGGTCTAAAGGCACAGAGCGTGCCAAGCTCCTGAACAAAGGCCAGAGACGTGATGAATTCACAGGCGTCTGGGTGACAGATAAGAAGATGGGACGATTGCTCAGCGTGGCACCGAACCCGATAGTCACAGTTGTTCCTTTTTGTTCGCCGAGCTTAGCTGCGTGTTAACTGTTGTGTCCATGACGTCAGAGGTCCGGTACAACCCCGCCGGATACTGGTGCCGAAGTCTGGAACGCTCCGTTATCAGAGGGTCGGCCGCCTCCTGTGATATTTAAATATTTTGGACCACTCGCTCGTCCTATAACTGTGACCGCCTCATCACAGGTCCCATCCACTAACATGGAGGAGGCGGAATTTATGACGAGCACTTCACCCAGCCACCAGGGGGAGCTGCTGTGTCGTGCATCTTTTTCTACAGCCTATATAGAAAGGATGGTAATCTGTGTGATCATACATGACAAATAATAATCACAAACTGTATTTAATGCAGCCGTTGTTTTTTCTTCTCAGCGTGTCTTAGCGTGTCTCAGCGTGTCGGGGTCAGGTCATGCGTGTGTGTGTGTGTCTTCATAACCGGAGGGAGACAGACACGGGGACTCGGAGGTAAACAGGTTGTTGTCTGTGAAGAGGACGTTTTAGTGAACTGCTGTTTAATCAGCGTCAGGTGCAGTCGCTGAATGAAGCAGGTGCAGTCGCTGATTGAAGCAACAACTGAGGCTTGCGGAGATGAAGTCGTGCACTTCCTGTGACTCTGTCGCACATTTGAATCTGTTTTTTTTCAGACACACTAACGCTCTGTGCACCATCTGTCGTGCAACACTCTTCACATCTGACACTAAACGAACAGAACACCGCCGATGAACATTTAGTTTCAGGAACTTTTCTCAAGAAGCCGAAAAGCAAATTATCCCGCGGACGAACCGTTTACTGCAAATATTCCAGGGGGAAGTTTTTAACCCAGCTTTACTGAAAGTTTCTGCTGATTCCCTCAGTTCTCCAGAGACGTTTTGCATCATAGAAGTTCACAAACTCCATTAGGGACGAACAAATGCAACAAGTTGAACTCCGGTTCAACCAGATTCCCCCGACAGGTTTTAATAAAGACGACGGTTCCAGGTATCAAGTATTTTCCTTCAGCGTTCAAGGGGTTTTCTTCGGAGGACACGTTGCTCGGTGCAGATAAAACAGACTTTCCTCAGGAGATGGTTCGATAAGCTTCCTCTCTGCTGGTGTTCCCTTCAGCCTCGTCGAGGCACAAAACAAACACACAGACTGGGTTATAAAGCAGGTTTCCACTGTGTTAGTCTGCAGTTGACCAAGTTCAACTCTGCGATGTGATGTCTGGGCCACTCAACCCAAATTTAAAACCTCTGAGGCACAGGAATATAAAGGTATTAAAAAAAATTTACAAGCTGAGTCTCCACCTCCTGTCTGAGGTTATAAAGCTCTGATAACAGAGTTTGCTTTGTTAATTTGTGGTTTTTCATCCTGAAGCCTTAGTTGTTTCCTTTCTCTCTTATTTATATATGTTTATAAAACACAAATCAGAAGATGGTCATTTGCCAAATGTTTTTTAATTTCTATGCGCTAAAATAACTTGTGCTCACAAACTAGTTAATCAGAATCGGTGTTTTGGACACGTCCAACTGCATCTTTGCCATGTTACCCTCAGCAAGGAGGCCTGAGTGTTTGTGGGATGAATCAATGTTAATGAAGTGTTGTTTGAATTCCTTCCAAGAGCTGGAAGCCAAAGTTTTTTCAGAACAGTCTCCGTCCATCAGTCCACCCACCGTGGGATCACACAAGCAAATGTGAAGCTGAGCTTTTGAGGAAGTATTTTCAGTCTGCTTTAATTTTTTTTGATAAAGAGATTATTGGAAAATTGTGACTTGATCTTTCAGAAACAATTTGTCTGTTTACCAGTGCAGAGCCTGTTGTAAATCAGCCTTTTATAAACCAGCCTGTTGTAAATCAGCCTTTTATAAACCAGCCTGTTGTAAACCAGCCTTATTGAGCAGCAAAAGTGACCTGCAGTAAAAACGTCACAGCAAATAAAGACGTGTTGCAGACTGTGTGAGGACGAGCAGGAGCCGATCTGCAGAACCGTGAGCCTGCGTCCCAGCTGCCGATCAAAGTTTGAAGCTCAAGTCGGTGCGTTTAACCAAGAACTGTAGAACTGACGTCAGTGCACATACAAAGAAAATGAATTTAATTGGATCCTTGGACACGTTGCCCGACCTTAGAATTAATCGACTCTTCTATGTTCATTGCAGCTCTCTGCTTCGTGTGTGTATCCATGTTGTGATAGTACATGCACCCTCTTCTTCCTCGTCTGCCTCTGCTTCACTTTCCTGTTTCCTTTCACCTCTGCTCCTGTCTCTGTCAGTTTGAGACACGTTCCCGTGAGACGGTCCTTTAGTGCTAAAGTGCATTTAAGCGCTAAATCTTTCACAGCGTAAACAATTTTAAAGTCTAGTCTCCTGAATCGCAGGATCAACGGAGGTCAGCCTTTTACACCGGAGAGAAGGGATGGTGTCAACTGGAGATGGAGGATGAAGTGAGAAGAGAGACCACGGAGGTAAGTAAGATGACAAAATATGTGGGGATGTAAGATAACTGGAGGGAAAAGGAGCGATTGAGAAGGAGGAGCAGAGTGGAAAACATGTTGCAGACCTCCTCTCTGTCCTTGTGATGCCAAATATAATAATTTAAACGTCCACAAATGTCAGAAACCAAATACTTTATGCTTCGCCTGCATGAGCTATGTTCCTGCGCTGGTAAAACTCATCAGCTTAAAACGTTGGTAAACACACGATCCTCCATCATCTTCAGCCCGAGAGTCCGAGGGAGCCCGCGGAGGAATGAATCTTTCTTAGATACCCGGAGCATCTGGAAACTGAAAGGCCTGAAAAAGGTTAATTTGATTTAATCGGGACATATTCATTACACAGCTGCATAAAAATGATTCATAACCATTGGGTCTAATGCATCTGCAGTTACTTTATTAAACCGGGGGTGATAAGAGAAGGACGAGAGGAGACGGAGAGGACGGGTGGAGAAGAAATAAGTGTCTGTTCTAAACCTGTTTAAAACTTCAGAATTATTCCTCCTCATAAGTGAGTCGGCTGTTTCAGAAGTCTGTTAAGCAATCGATATAATATTCAAACCCAAATACGCTGCTTTTCAAAATAAATTGATCGTTGTGTCCAAAAATAAACACTGGAAGTCGTTTTAAAGACTCAAAAATCTAAGTTTTTTATGCTGTTTATTATAGAAACTTGTAAATGATCCGAGGCAGGGGTTGGCAGCGGTGCTGGGCTGGAGGCGGGGATCTGACTGGCAGAGATGTGCAGACAGATGGCGGAAGAAACGATGATTCCGAACCAGGCAGGTGATGATGTGGTGGGATAATGGGAACGGCTCTGGGATGAAGCTGAGGCGGAGTATTAGAGCAAATGGGTAATTTCAATATAAAGCAGCGCCACCACGACATTTGTACTAATATGGTAACCAAACAATCTGGCAAGAGACAAACGCCCTCGAGAGAAAAGGAAAAAAAACTGCACAACCCTTAGAATCAACTCTTTCGACAGTGGAAAAAATCAATGTGCGACGTGCTCGTCTTGCCGCGCCTCACATTTGCAGCCGCGTCGGAGCACATGATACGGGTGATGGATTGAGAGACTGAGGATGAGCGCCGTGCCAAACTCGAACAACTGGAACATCCACTGTGCTCGAGCGCCACCGCTCTGAGTCTGGGGGAGGAGGGAGAGCAGCAGCAGCAGGAGGAATGAATGTGACACCTGCAGCGATCGAGGGTGCTGATCCAATTTTAACTAGAGCTATGCCAGATGCTCGTGTTCCTCCAGGCCCAGTAACAAGTGTTCTGTTCCTGGGCTCGTGTTCTGGACTGATAGGGAACGCACAAATAACGTCTCGTGTTTGGACCCTATCAAAAATGCATGTTAATGCAAATGGCCCACGCCACTTGTGCTCAAACTGTTATTTGAGTGTAAGAGATATTCGAAGTTTTACAATCTTATATTCAGTAATGTCTCTTTTTAACCCCCCCGCTGACTCTGGATTTTTTTTTCCAGAAGAAATCCCGTGCAGCTGCTGATGACAGCTTTTATACAACAGAGAGCGAGAACCCACGGAGAAGCACTGACGGGTATTTCTAAATTACAGTTTACTTCAATCCAATCCACCCGAGTTAGTGTTTCTGCCTCTCTCTCTCTCTCTCTCTCTCTCTCTCTCTCTCTCTCTCTCTCTCTCTCTCTCTCTCTCTCACACACACATCCCATGCATCATGTCTCCAGCCTCTNCTCTCTCTCTCTCTCTCTCTCTCTCTCTCTCTCACACACACATCCCATGCATCATGTCTCCAGCCTCTGTGACGAAAAACCTTGAGCCCTCCGACATCAAAAGTTGTTTTTATCCTTGGTATAACTTTTAGACTGTCATCCATCTATGTGAGTTACTATAGCAACTCACTAAGAGCTAAAAGTTATCTATTCTCTCGAGGTCCGCCTGCGTCACAGTGACGAGTCCTGTCCTGTTTTAGACGTCCTTCAATTCCAGAGCAACAAATGGATTCAGCGTGATGATTCACTTTGGGCCGACCTATCGCAGGACTCATTACACACTGCCGATGAATCTAACAAGCTAACGTGAGCCTGGTTCACAATTCACAAGTCTCGCAACATGTGGAAAGAAAAGCCCAAAGTCGGTGCTCGATCTGCAGCCGCCGTTCGCTTTGTGTAAACTCTCCAAAGACGTGATCAGAGACGCCGACAGATACCAGCTGGTTTCTCCTGGTGAAAGATTCCGTCGTCGCTCGTCCTCCTGGTGTGAACTACAGAGATGCGAGGACGTTGAAAGCTGTGTTGTGCTTATGAAACAATAGTAAGGACGAAAGTGACGCAAATACAAAATCCTCCGTAGACCAGACCGTCTAATTTGGGTTTGGCCTCTGTCGTCAACGGTCCTCTGCGTCCTCCAGAGGACGCGGCCCCTGACTCGGGACACGTGATGCAGTTGTTGAGTGTCGGCAAAACAAAGCTAACGTTGCCGCCTTCACATTCATGCAGCCGGTGGTGAGAAGGGCGTGCAACAAAGACGGGGTGAAGCGGGACAGAAAGACGTCATGAGGATGAAGGAGTGATTAGGGTGAATTCAATGGGAGAATAAATGAAGTGAGCAGGAAAAGACAGACGGATGGAAAGATGTGGTAATGGGTGAGACGGAGGGAGAGAGTCGATGGAGAGGGATTCAGCCAGGGAGCAGCTGGAGTCATTACAGATATAAATAGTGGCACAACTAAGTGGTTTGGAGGAAAAGCAGAGGTTTCATCACAGACACAAAACAATGGGTGATGTTGCTCGACAGCAGACACGACGACTAAACTGCTGCTTCTGCTGGAAACGCGGATCTTTAATTTCCCACGGTGAATTTTGGGAAACCTCTCAGATTTCAGTTTTGCATAATGTAATCAAACGAGAAAATGAGGCGTGTCTGCTTTTTCAAAAACCGCGATGATTGGAAAGTGGCCTCGGCACACTTGCCGTTGTCGTTCACATCTGTGCGAGTATAGTTTTCCTAGTTTTTTTTTCCCATGTTACCACTGGGCTGACGGGACACGGCACACAAGAGATGCTCTTCCAGTCTGTAAATTCACTGGTCTTCATGCAGCTTCGGTTAATTGGAGACTCTAAATTGCTCGTAGGTATAAATGCGTTGATCTTTCGATTTATCTGTTTCGACTCCTTCACCGTGTTGTCCTCCTTGTGTTTGCATTACGTTTGTATTTGCTCTTTTATTTTGTCTCCTACCCCAGTGTCTCTGTCCCTTACTCGTGTCCCCTGTGTCTTGTTAGCTCGTGTGTATTAAATCCCCGCGTTTCCTTCACCCAGTCGCCGGTTCGTGTTGTTCCTCTACACCCGTCGGAATCAAATATATTATGTAGTTTATAGAGGGCCGTTATAAAACGTGCCTCGCCCTTTCATTTCTGATAAAATGTCCCTTTTCAAAGGAATATTTTCGATTAAACTAAATCTCTTTTTAAATTATGGTTTTATTCACACTCAGGCACAAATGTTCTGAGTCCCTCTACAGTAATAACTATTGTGAGATGGGTTTTCTTAAAAAAAAAAACTGCCCACAGGAGAATTTCTTTGTCATTATGTGTTCCTGTTTTCATACCTCTCACTTTTTAACCAGCTGTTCCTGTCCCACTGTTTTTTCGGATCTCCTGGGTTTCTCCCAAAACGAAAGGTGAAGAAAAGAGTTTTATTCTCTTGATGCGATGTTCAAACGTTTTTGTTTCAGCTCTTGTCCGTTTGTCTGTTCGCTGGTTGGTCTGTCAGCAGGATTACACAACAACTACTCGACGCTTTTCCTCGGAACTTTGCGGAACGATGGGACATGAATTCAAACAGGGGGTGTCCGACCAGAAAGAGGATTTGATCACAGAGCATGAACACGACGCTGCAGTAGCCACTTCAGGAAAAAAAGGAGAAATTAACAGTGGCAAAACATCGGCTGGTCCAGTGAATCACACTCTCATGTCGTGGATGGTTCAGTGAACCTGACTCTAACAGTTACTGCCCAGAGCTGCGGGCTGCAGGGATGAGGTGTAACAGAGTGTTTGCAGCTTCGGTGCACAGCTGAGAACTCGAGAGCAAGTCGACGCAGGTATGAGTCAAATTCCACGTTGAAAACCCAGCGACGTGATGAGGGCTACCTGAGGTGAAAAGGTGGAGATGAAGTTAGGATCCGTGCTCCTGCTGAGACTGTCCTCATCAAATGAATGATGCTCTGGCCCTGAAGTGACAGCTGCACATTCAGTCAATGTCATAAAACTCAGGCACAGCAGTCCTTTGCCTCATGGTACCGAAAACACCAACGAGTTGCTCAGAGGGAGGTCGAGACTGCGAACGGGCTGCGATCAATATTTTTACAACATTAAACTGACGATGTGTGACCACTCGTAGATATCAGTCTTCTCAAGATGCCTTATTACAAAAGATCAATTAATATAATTCCCTCGAAAAAAACCGCTTTAGCTTGCAGTGTTTGAAATAAATAACTCCTTGATCCGCCCCCTTTATCAGGATCCAGGCCAGAACGTGATCCATCTCTCCGCCATGTTGGATGGAAATCCGTTCAGTGGTTAGAGGCAGAAGCAGCCCAGAGCAGGAAACATAACGGTTGTCGTCGTCTTCATGTTGATCGCTATCAGTGGCCTTCTTCCGCGTGCATGCGAAAACATTATCGAGGAAGTTGCTCAACTGATATGATTCTGTCTATATATGAGCTTCACATCCCTAATTGTTCTTTTGGGCTTTGGTCCACTCTAACTCAAAATACCACGTCCCGAGATAGAGATAAAGATGTGCCCTTTATTTTAAGTTTAGCTTTTCCCTTGAAAGTCTGTGCATGCTACTATTTAGCCCAAATTAAACGAAAGCATAAACCGCACGGGTGCTGCAATCCACACGCATTTTTAGAATCAGCGGAAAAAGGAAATCTCTCTCTGCAGGATTGAAATTTGTTGGTGCGTGAATGCAAACATTAAATGCAGCCGCTTCTCAGGAACAGAATATCTTCTTAGTCAACCTGCCAGAGTTAAATACATTCTGCAGACATGCAGAGGCCTGGTGCTTTTCTACCTTTTTCCAGCAGGTAATATCCAGTATAATTCTGCTGTTAGAGCAAAATGACACAGAGAAGAGCAACCTCTTGTGCTGATATCCCACACAAATAGCTCCCCTCTTGTCTTCTCTCTGCATCCTACATGTTTCCACTCCCCCACCAGTGCTGCTCTCCCTGCTCTAAATATAACAGAGTTACCTTCGAGGGGGCAATTACACCGATCACCCTGAGAGGAGAAACGAGTGTTATTTGTTAATTCAGCCGCGTGCACGTAACGATGTGGTTGTAGTCGAGGATGGATGGTGATTGTCAGGTGGCAGCGTGAGCTCCACGGAACATATTCCATATCTTTAGGTACATAAACGGTGAGACGGAGGAATCAAACTCACAGCGAGACACAGAAAGTTGATTTCATTTAAAAAAAAAAAAAGTCATTTATGCATTTGCTGTCTTTGTGCTAAGCTAAACGAAGCTAACCAGCTTGAGGTACAAGTACATCAGAAAAGTGTAGTTCTACTTTACACCTATGTATTTTTTTAAAGCATCAACATATCAACAATATTTGAAATTATAGAAGCGGTAAATATAAGTATTAACCGTAATGATGGCTCGTTCTCCACTTTGTACCGTCCCAATGTTTGGGAGTTTTTAATTTGTCGAAACCTTGTTTAATTAGTCATAAATAATCAACGTGTGAGGAATGTTTACGATTCTAAACGAGGTTTTAAGGTGAATTAAACACATGTAATTACTTTTCCACTAATATGGAAGCAGATATATCATCATTGCATCATTCCCTGATCTTTTTCATGCTGAGCTCTCTGTAACGATAAAAAACTGCTCTGGATGAGGTTGTTTTTGTAAATATAAAACCTTCCTCCTCCAGTTTTGTGTCAAAACTGAAACCTCCATCTTAAAAATTGACAAATCTTTATGCCGGCATGGCAACCGAGAAATATGTTCCCCCTCTCGTAGGTGTAGCAGGAGGCTACGTTGGAAAAATACCAACAGCATACTAATGATTTTCCATGGAAAAAAACCATTAAAGGCCTATTTTTGGAACCGTGTGAGGATGTTTGTGTATTATCTACAGATTGCGTGAACTGGTGAAATGTAATCTAAAACAAAGCACTTCCAGTAAGTCGCTGGCTGACATCCTTTCTTTCTCTCCGCGGGCAATATATCTTCTGCCTCTCTCCGAAAGCTGTCCGGTCACTCCAGCTAATTCCATTACTGCAGAGCCAGGTGACAACATCAGGCGGGCAACACACAGACAAACACACACAGACAGACACACACAGACAAACACTCACAGACAAACACACACAGACAAACACTCACATAAACGGCAAACACTGATAAGTAAAATCTATGTGTCTCCCAGAGAGATGGTGCGAGCGGCAGAGGAAATGGACGTTGGAGTCTGGGAGATGTAGAACTGATAAAAAAGAAAAAGGAGAGACGTCATACACACATTCACTGGAGCCAGACGGGGGGAAAAAAGGGCAATACATAATTACAACCTTGACGCTGTGCTGGTGGAGCTTTAAAACGCTTCCAACAGCTGGTACGTAATCCTGGACAACAGCTACCATCCAAATGGCCAAACAGACCATAATTTCAGCTCTGGGATGGTTGCCACGAGAACAACAGCATCTCACATTCGAGAGGAGCCCCTAAAAAAAAAAAAAAACCATCCTTGGCACAGAGGCCTTCCTCTTTGTTTTATATTCATAGAAAAGTGGCGGTGGTTCCGTTTTATCGGTGCCATCAAAATCCCTTCCCGGGCGACTCTTGACTTTATTTGGACTCGACGGCCTGAGAGGTTTTGGCTATTTGAGCACCAGCTCCGTGTGCCGCTCTGTTATTTTCTGGAGGCTTGAGCGAGTCGTTGAACGCTTGTTGACCGTGTGACTGAAATGACCATCACAAGCTCTGAATATTGATGTGATTAGAGAAAAGAGACACACAAGAAAAACGTGCCAGGGTGCAGCAATTAAAATCCATTGGGTTAGAACAGAAGGTGCAATTAGGCTGCATCCAAACTAATGTTTTCATTCGAACGTCCACAAACACAGTTTCAGCACCACATCAGTGAAAATGCTTCTCGCATCAGTTGCAGGATTAGAGACGTGACCGTAGACTGATGATGACTCTGCACTTCCTCCCTCTGTCCAGAAATGACGCCACGAGAGAGTTGCAGTCGTGGGGAAGGAGCCGAAGGATTCGAGGTCCCGCCGATACATTCGCCAGCCACCAGGGGGTGAGTGAGACGCTTTGGCAACAACAAAAAAAAACACGGAGTAAATTCGAGAAACAGACGTCGGCTTAAAGCGGTTAACTTCTCAATGCCCCTTCGGTCCCTCTGTCATCAAGCATTTCACTCCTTTAAGCGAAGCGGCAAGAAAAACAGACTGCAGTCAGCAACGATCCTATTTAGCCAGTTTCAGGAAGGTAATTACCAGCAGAGCCTTGGAGTGCGACATTATCCAAAACATTCACCCTCTCCATGCAGTCTCGAGAGGAGAGCACTCAGAGGACACACACACACACACACTGGAACACGCAGGTCCGCATGCTCGGCTGTAATTATTCTTAAACCCGATTTTTGAAAAGGAGTTTGGCTGAGAGGAGGCAGCTGGGGCTGGAGTCAGCACTCTGATAACCTCCATGTTAACACTATTAGACCGAGACCAGCTCTATTATGTACACAGACACTCCTCACGCTCCGAGTCCAGAGAAGAAGAAGAAGGAATCGAATATCTAAATGTGAGAGTCAGTCTTCATGAGCTGTTTCTTCACAAGGGTTACTCCTCTTTCTTTACAACGGTCCGATTAGTCAGTGCCACTTTAAATGATTGCTCGTTTTTTAATTAATGGCTAATTCGTTTGATTTCAAACCCATTTCTGCGGAGAGTAAAAACGTGTTTCCAAGGGGTTAACAACAGCCAGCGTTGTTACGAATCTTCAGCTCATTGAAATTATACTCCTGTGACTGAGGATCTTACCACTGATTTGATTTAATGAAAACAATACTGAAGATAAATCGAAGAGATACAGGAATCAGACAAATGTCCTCATTCAATTTGAACAATATCTGATTATTGTGATGGAGTCTGCAGAATCTATTAATCTCTGGTTTAACAAGCAGATCTGCAGAGAGAAATGTATTAGACACTGAAATCAAGAATAACTAAAGTTATATAACCAGCGTTTAATGCAGAGTCTCTATATGAAGAGACCAAATCATCTGGCTCGCCCCTGGTTGGCTGTCTGCAGTATTGTGCCTCCTCCATGTTAATAAATGGGACATGGACCAAACTAAAAAAGATCTGTTGAAGTTTCAAACTGCAACGCAAAGAGTTTGATTAGCTTCAAATGTTCCTGATCCATGGTGCAAACAATATAAACCACAAACATCGAACTCTATTCAGTTTCCGCATTAAGCTACAATCCAGTAATAACTTCTTCTCAGGACACTTTGTGGAGATGGATGTTGAAGTCACAGTGTGAATAAAGATTAAAATGGGAAAAACCAACAGGGACGGACTCGTCTCATCGCTCTGCCAACTAGCTCGCTGATACAGATCGCCAGAGATGCAGAGACGTGTTGTTTGTGCAAAGACGATGAGAGCTTCTGTCCCATTCCGCTGAAATGGGAAAGCTGTTTGGCACTTAGCGGCTCTAACTGTGATGTGGTAGACGAAAAACAGCAATTATTTACCCATTTCAAAAGCGTAAACATTCACTGTACATTCAGATGATAGTCGATTAGTGCACCGACCAATGAAAGAGGAGGCGGGTGTAGGAACTGAAGAGGGAAGAGTTAACGGGTGTTCTGGGGTCAGCAAAGGTTTGTAAGAGGAGCGACCGCTGCAGGTGAGAAGTCAAAGGAAACTTTACTTGACAGGCGCTCGGCTGAGTGGAAGGATTCAGGAGGCGTGCGGAGAAGTTCGGGATGCACAGGAGACCAGAATGAGAGAAGTGGAGGCAGACAAAGAGGAACGGATAGAGATGGATGGCTGCAGACAAAAGGAACAGACAAGGTCACGGCCGTGTGTGAGATAAGGCAGGAAACTGAAGCCTCTGAGCGTCGAGGTGCATGCCAGACATTACGTTCCGTCATTGTTCTGGCTTGTGTGCGGTGCATCTAGTGCGACATGGATTGGAGCTGCAGGAAACAAGTCTACAAACATCTCTGTGATAAATGTGCTCCTGGAGGTGAGGGGGGGGGGGGCAGCTTTAGCTTCTGCAATAGCAAAATATTAACAATTACTATTATTCCATGTTGCCTGGCAGCGGTGTTCTCACAGTTCACACCTCGTGAATACCAAACACAGACCGTGTGCACAGTGTCCCGCGTAACGACCAAGAGCTCCGTCTGAAGGCGGCGGTCTCTGCTGTGTGGGTCTGTATGTGCGGTGAATGTGAAGGGGCAGCGTAACACTGACAATTTTTATGATTCCGCTGCATCAGATTTTATTGGATCAACAACAGCGATTAAAGATTTACAGCACAGGCCTGACGGCTTGGAACCAGCGTGGCTGCTGCTGCATGTCACGTCACCTTTATGACGGTTGTGCTGCGCGAGTGTTGAAATGATGGAATCAACCCCGGAGGGAATATCAACGTGAAAATTAGCCGCGCACTGTCTCAGAACATTTCTTTCGAGTAGGTTCAACGTGTAAAGTGTTTTTCTAGCAAACAACAAACTGCATTAAACCGGTTTCCAAAACGGCCGCACAGCAATAAGCCTTTTGCCTGAAAATGCGTTTTTATTATTATTTTTTTTTTGTCATCACTCAAATTCCCGACATTGCAGCTTTAAAGCCATTCAATTTCCTTTATTGCCATGTTGTGGGGGGGGGGGGGTGCATGACGCGGGAGAGAAGTTGTTCAGCGCAGTACAGTGGCCTATTACAGTGGGGCTGTGTCGGTTTAGTTTGCCCCATGAGTTTAATGGAGCCCTCAGTGTATTACAACATCTGGTGTAGCTCTAGTGTAAAATGACTTCAGTGATGATAGAGAGGAGGAGGAGGAGGAGGAGGAGATGGAAGAATATTAGATTTAGGGTGAGTCCTGAGGTGTTTGCTTAATTTCTGGCCAAATTCACGAAATCCATTTATTACTGACTGACAAGAGTTGAGTTGGTTAAAATCTGGTTTCCAGGCTTAACTCTCGTTGAACGACAGCTGCTCTCTGCTGCCGTCATGTCGTCCGTCCTACAGTCGATCATCACGACACTACGTGGTTGTTTTACGGTTTATTGACTTCTGTTGGGCGATGGAGAGAAACAGAGAGAGGGGAACGTGTGTGAGGAGGGAGAGAGTGACAGCACTACATTTAAATGAAGCTCTCGGTGCATCACACACTCTGTTAAGGTGACACCCCTGAGACAACAGAATGGCAGCCAGGTTATAGAGGGAGGGGAAGAGTGTGTGTGAGTGAGTGTGAGTGTGTGTGTGTGTGTTCATTCTCTCTTTTCAACAACCTGTCAGCTGCTGCAGTGCAGGTATTCCAGTCATTCTCATGCAAGCCGCGACCATTTTGGGAATCAACCTTACGCCGTGAGGACATTTTGGTCCTCGCTAACATAGAAATACTAGAATGTACGTGTGTGTGTGTGTGTGTGTGTGTGTGTGTGTGTGTGTGTGTGTGTTGTTAGAGCACTTTGTGTTTGTGTGTTCCCCAAAAACTGATTAAGAGTCATGATTAGCAGCAGACTGTGGGCAAGGGCGTGGGACTGATGTCAGACCGCAAGGCAACACAGACACACACACACACACACACTTAATTAGGAAACTAATCTCTGTTAATAATAAGACGGACGGAGACATAATAGAGGGAGAGCAAAACAAATAAAACCTCCCCTGGTTTGGAAAAAGCGACACATCGGCCACATTGCACAGAATATTTGATTCCAATTTATTCCTTCAGCTCCGTCTTTTTCTGAGGTGGCTTCAAATAAGATGCTCTTTAAATTGTAAAATCAGTCGCCAGGCGCTCACCTCCATTGCGGGACTTTTGGTCATGAGTGTGTTTCCTTTTTCTCGGGAGTGTGCGTGCAATTTGATTTTCATGACTCGATTTCGTGAAAGATTCTCTTCTCAAACCCGGTGGAATGAGGCCCTGTCTCCGAGTAGTGTTTGCAAAAATGCGGATGACGCCTTAAAATGCAAGAACAGGAGGGTTATGAATCCTGAGTCAACACGTTTGACAGTGAGACGTTCGCTGCGAGACTATTAAGGGCACAGAGATACGATGGTGCACAGGAAGACAAGAGGCCATTTGAAGGAAGGAGCCGGGGACGAGACGCAGACGAAAAAGCACGAGATTTGACAGTGATGCGCTCCGACAACTCCCAAGTGTTGACAAACACAAGGACGTAAATACATATTCAGGATGTCAAGACACGCGCGAACCAATCAGCCCGCAGTCGATGGCTCGGGCTGAGAACAGAGCCGTCAGTGCTGTGTCTAAAAACGGCGAATACGTGGCAGCGAAAGATGGAAAAAAAAAAAAAAAAAGCCCAAAGGAAGACGGGAGAAGAGAAGAAATGGAGGAGGAGGAGGGAGATATGGAGAAGTGAAGGCAGAGCAGAGCAAAACCAAAGCATTAAAAACCAGTGGATCCAAGTCGGGTTTTGTGATGAAGAAATAAAGCGACAGAAAGTCTCTCGGTGTTTGAAGAAATACTCCGACGTCTTATCACCAAAATGTGCGTAATAGAAAAATTGGCCTCAGCAACTGACGCATATTATTATAATATCAAATATAATATATATAATATAACGTTAGGTTGTTGATACTGGAGCAGCAGGGCTACACTCATCATTTTCTGCTGAAGAGGCGTCAAAATAAAATGTTCTGAACAACTTGAATATGTTATATATGTTGTGTTAAGTCCTGATTACGACGACGTTCATTTAACGCTGTCGTCCTTTAAAGAGAGTTTTTAAAGAGAAGTGCTCTATTCTGCAGAGTTTGTAAAAAAGAAAACTGATCGTGTCCAAACACTACAGATCACGACAGGAATCACTATCACGGTTTAACCTCACCGAAAACAATCAATGTGACTTATTTCACAAAAAAAAAAACCCAACTGCAGCGACTTCTCTGACAATTGTGGGTCGTGGAACGTCCCCCGGCCCGTTGGGACGACACTGATGCTGTAAGGAAATGAGGCAGAGCTCCGTGTAATGAAGGGCAATATGTTAATTTGACATTTAGCCCGAATGACTAAATGTAGATAAATCCCTCGGTAGATTAAAGCCAGGCCGGACTCTTCACGTAGAGCACTTAGAGACGTGAACTTTAGTTTTCATTTCATGGTTATTACTCGATTATATATATCTGTGTGTGTGTGTGTGTGTGTGTGTCTTAAAGAAACACACGTGTTCTTGAGCTGCCAGTTTTACTTTCGCTATCGACTGACAGGGAACAGGACAATCGTTTAGGCCTATCTGACACACACACACACACACACACACACACACACACACACACACACTGACACACAGACTTGCTGATAAATCCCACGTCAGCTCAAATGTGATGCGACATCCATCCACATCCCGCGTGTTCACAGGCCCGATGCTCACGCTGCGGCTACAGAGCCGTGTGCCATATGGTGCCGCTGATCTCGACACCTGAAGTCATGAAGGGGGACGTCGGGGTGCGTGAGTAAGAAAGATGAGCGGAAGAAGAAGAAGAAGGAGGTGAAGTGAGGTGAAAAAAAGGAGAAAACATTTTCCCGGAGAAAGAAAATGGGTCAGTTAATGAGATAATTGGTTGTTTGTATGAGCGAAGGATAAACGATCGACCTTTATCCTTATATCAGGTGAAGTCAGGCGGCGGGAACGAGGGATAAAGGATGGAGGGATTGCGAAAGAAGAGAGGAACGTTCTCTCTGCGATGATCAGATGTTGGAAACTTCAGGGGGAGGAACAGAACTCGTATCCGCACGGGATCTGCATAACGTGATGAAATTGGATTTGGGAAAAGTCCGGAGCTGAAGTAATAGTGGAGATCAGGCTTCTGGAAAATGAGGATTCAAAGGTAGTTTAGTGGAAAACACGCTTTTCAGGCTGGCTGGCTCGTGGACTCACAGATAAATAGAGTCATGCATGAATTTAACATAAATACAAAGCTAATCATGTGAGAATAAAACGACTGATTATTGACTGACCCGGTTGGATCCATAGAAATGTTTTATTTTTCACACAAATTAAAAATTCTCTTCGCGCAAAACAAGCTCAGTGTAAACCTGAGAACCGTCTCCCTCGGGTTTGGCACAGACGACTCAATCACACACGGGACATCTCGTGTTAGTCACCGACGAGCGGAACCAGACCGACGCTGCTGCAGGATTACTGTGTCTTCATGCTGAGAGGTGACGGTGCTGAACCTCACACTGCTCCTGTAAACAAAGATTCATCTCAGGGAGAGAAATGATGAATGAATCGAGAAAAGAAAGCTGTGTGTGAACGTGTCCTCTCTCCTGTCTGTCCCCCCTCTCCTCTTGTCCTCCGCTCGTCTTCTCCAGCTGTTTTCCAGCCCACACAAACACGAGGGCTGTGCAGACGCTCACCTCGGGATTCTTCTGCATCATTTTCATTTGCTGTTTCGTGGCAAATGTGCTTCGTCACAATCAACCGCCTCCTCTGTCGTGTGCGGCTCCAGACGCCTGAGCATGAATTTAAATTATTTATGGAACGATTACTTGTCACACAACTCAGGTTTGCAGCTGAAGTGAGGGATCAACCTCTTCCAGGATAAATCCTGCTGTTAGAATCGTTTAAGCCTCCTCTCCTCCTCCTTTTTCCTCACTCTTATCCTCCTTTCTTCTTCTTCTTCTCTGAGTCGTCCTTCATCGGTCCCATCCGACCGACAGCTGTGGGGATCACATAACTTCAGCTTTCTCTGGTTTGCAAAATGGATTAGGTGAAAGAGGAGGAGACGTACACACTCCGACACAAACTGTGACCTAAAACCTCCAAATCCCATCGTGACAAACTTGATTTTATATCTTTAAAAAATTGCTAACGCAGTGATGTGAAGATCCCGCAGATTAAAAAGAGGCGAGGCTCGTCAGAACACTGATTATTCTTCATCCCACTCGGCAGCGTGGGTGAGAAAGAATACTAAGTGTTACAGCTCATGCAGGTCTAGAGAAGGATTAGCTGCAAAGATCCAGCAGGAAACCGCCTCATGCAGGAACATGTTCCTGTTATTATCCCAAATTTGTTTTTACACTTCTCGCTCGTTTCTCTCGTCTCGATGACCAGAGCTCTTTACAGAACGGTTTGATCCTCGGGGGACTGTTTAGCAGGGACACTCTTTAATTTAGAATTGGATTTAAATTCAAACTGTAGAAGAAAACTCCAAATTTGAGAAAATCGGTGAATGCCAAGTTCCACTAAATTACTCATATGCACAACGTAGGAACAAATCTGTTGGTACAAATGGTTCTTGCATGAGGCCCAATGGGGTTTTTTTTGTCACTCAACTGAACTCAGCCAGAAAAGCTCTTGTTTACTTTATCCCAAAACTCTCACAGACAGTTTTACCCACTTCATCGACATGCTTTCGTTAATTCTGGGTCATAATCGACATGAGAACAACTTGTGAGTCACTAAGGAAGCAGCTGATTACAAAACGCGAGTGGAGAAGCTGAAGCGATGCCGGAAGTGGAATGAAAATGATTAAACACCGAACAATGTTTGAACAAGTGTCTGAGGAAATAAAATAAAGAATAGGTAATAATGAAAAGCAGAAAAGGAAGTTTTGCGTATTTGAAAATAAATGGAACCACTGCAGCTTGTGTGAGAGCGTCACAGAAAAGCAAACTGACCCAGAGGGAGCAACAGACTCAGAATAAAGACGTTGGTCTAATGTCTGCCTGGAATTTGAAAATACTTAAATGAGACGAACATGAAGTTGGTCCTCAGTGGAGTTAACTTGAAGCTCATTAGCAACAGTGAAAGTCAAGGTCAATGAGAATAAATCCATGACTCTTACTCTCCTCATCATATATTATTGGCTGCCGCTTCCTTTTGCTTTTTCTAATATGGTTCATGATCCAGACTTTTTGAATCTTATGGCCTCTGATATCGACCAGAACAGTCAGACGTCATCTCGTATTTATCTAAATGATGATTAAATGTGACATTAAAATAACACTCACAAAATAAAACACCAAAATCAGCAGGTATATACGACGTTTCATCTGAATATCATTCCAGCACCGGACTGGGCTCGGCTCCACATTTGAATGAACACGGAGCAAGAAGTTGAGGTTTTCTAACTTTAAATCCTCGCGACGGCCATTTCTACTAAAGGCGAACCTCCAGTGAGGATCAGAGAATCTCCAGTGTGGCTGCAGGAAGTGTATTGTACCGTTTGAATCCCCAGTAGGACAGAATTTAATATTTGCTGGAATGAATCACGTCTCAACTTTATGTATGAATCTGAAACTGATTTCACATGCATTTATTTTGCTCTCTGCAGGTTTGACATGGTGCAGCGTGTTCCAGCAGCAACGAGCGAGGGAGAGACGAGGAGCGGCATGTTTATTCATGTAAGAGCCGTGGAAGGCACATGAACACACGTGTGCCTTTCATTCACTCACACACGCTACTGCACTGACATGCATCACACACACACACACACACACACACACACACACACAC